CTCTGTTTCTCTTCTCCGCCACCCATCCCTGTACACCCACCCTTCCATCCTTGTGATTTTTTTCCCCGGCCACCCTCCGACGCCGGGCGTCGGCGTCCTTTTGCTATCGGGACGCTCTCTCGACTATCGGCCCCCGACCACCTACACCGACGTACGGAATAGAGAAAGATAGAATGAGAGACGGGATGTGGAAGGAGGCGGAGGGGGTGGCTGCAGCGCCTGGATGCGAGCTAAAATGTAGTTTTTTTTGCTTCCTTTCTTTATCTTCCCTTCGAGCTGCTCGTGGTAGGTTGGATTACCAATCCGGGGATCGTGGAGCACGTTTTCCCATTTTTTTCCCTCCTTTTCGCTCTACTCCACCTACCCCCCCTCTCGGTGTGTTCACCCTGGACGTAAGGGTTGTGGCACGGACGGAACTACCACCCCGTCAGGTTTCCTGGATACATAGAGATTATCCACTCGAAATTTTTGGAACTCTATGCCCGCAAAGGCAAAGAAAGAAAGAATTTGTTCTGGGTGATATAAACAAAGTTAGGATCTGAATGAAAAGTGACAACATTGTTAGGGATGTAGGTATCACGTTGATCTATTCCGAGAATGAGTCTCTGTCAGTGGGGGTGAATTTTGGTCGAGAAACCGTACCGGTAAATGTCAGAGATATGCCAAGGGATGACATTAGAGAGTCGCAAAGCCCGCTCCCGGGAATCGAAACGCTTCAATTATTCTTCTTCTTCATACGGGAATCCAATTTTAAGCGTCACGTGACCGAGATCACCGGTGCCATATGCCCACAGGCGAGGAATCTAAGGGATGATCCCCGTTCTCTTCCTGCTCAAAAAACGATTTCCTCCTCCGTTAAGTTGAACGCTTCTCCACCTTGCTCTCTTCTCATCTGCTCTACGAACTTTAAAATAGATGTGGTGCATAACGGTGACTTCCGACAGTGCTTGAGAAGTCTCACGTCTACTTACTCACCCCCCCCCCCCCCCCCCCCGAAGTATCTTCCACTCCAGGTGTCTGCTTTCGGGCTGGCGCAAACACCTTCATCATTGTGACATTATTAGAGCAGCTCCATTAAAATCTAGACTGTCTTACAATGGAGATATACTTCGTTGTCTAAGAATATTTTATCCTAATAAGGGATTTGAAAGCTACCCTTAAGATCATACAGAAAAGAGAACAGAGAGAATATCTGGGTCGAGTCTTCTTTTCCCTGAAATTACCGACGAATGGCACGCAATATCCACAGGGATTTCCTCACATATCTCAGAGGGGGAGGGTTAACCTCGACGTAAAGGGCGTCGCTGACCAACCCTCACCTTCCCTGAAAATGCATATCCCTTCGTGGTTCCTTGGAGTTTCTCTTAAGAATCGGGATCGTTTCACGAGCCACCTGTAGAGCGACAGACGAAAGTATCGCCCTTATGGTGTCCCTTCGTTCGGTTTTCTAGGTCAGGCCCTACACCGCTCGGATTTACGGGGGCGTAAAATTTGGCCCGCGAAGTGGCCGTAATATCGATTCTTCTGCCACGGGGGTGGGAACCGGTTCGATGGTTCGAACGACGCTAAAAAAAATAGATGAATACATAAAAATGTTATATCACGAGAATCGATCATTTTCAACCTCTTAGAGTCTAAGACTTAGACGTTACCCGCGTTCTATCAATATTTAACGATGTCTCGCGGAAAAATTACCCTCCAAACAAGTAAAACTTCACTTCGAAATGATGAAACGTCATTTCAATTCGTCTTCTGTATTCTTCGCTCGTCTGTGGAAAATTTTTTCTCTTCGCCCAGACGATAAATTTACACAACCCTGGCTCCGAGACATGCCGAAAATAGACCGCCCTCGAGTCTCCCCTTACAGATCACATTCCGAGTCCTTCGAGAAGGATACGTGACCACACACAATGTCCTTCGCGTTAGAGGGTGGCTACGGGGTCGTCTGTGGTTTAGGGGGTCATGAGAAGGGAAACGAGGTCATCTCTCGGCGTTCTCGGTGTGTTCTGCAGGTCCGAGCGCCTATTACGATCTGTGTGTTCAAATCACCCCCACTGTACCGTTCCAATACTGTAGGTGGACACGCTTAATGTTATGGGAATACACAGTTCAGGGACTGGAACGAATTTTCTCCTAGGCAGCAATTAGTGGGGCGCCGAATGATTTACCGGGGACAAATTTGAAAGATTCAGGGAACTCTCTAGCGAGATTTAGGGCCGTTTACTTTTAACACGGGCTCTTTGGGGTGGTGAGTCGATCGAATTTCCATACAACGATCATTTGAAATTTATTTAATGTAGATAAACAGGCATAGCCCTTTTGTACAAAAAAGTTATACTACGATGAAAATGAACAGCGAACTTTGTGCGATTGTATGACGGGAATGAGATGAAATTAGGTGTAGTTACGCTATTATCATTAAATATATAATAAAATTCGTGGACCATCGATCTTCAGCATCCTCCCCGTGGATGTACCATTAATAACTCACATAACTCAGCCACCCTCGTAACCGCGTAACAATTTACACGTTGAGAAACACCGTTCGCGTGGGTTGAATTGTTTATCTCCGCAGAAGGCCTAGTGATGCCCAAGGTCACAGGCCAGGCTTGCCACCAGCCTCGTCTGTGTTGTGTCTAGACAGTGTTTCCCCCGCCCCCTCTTCATCCCCTTTGCCATCCGCGACCCTCTGCTCCGTCACCCACCACTTGGACTGTGCCTCCACCCCCCGTCGACGCATCACACTCCACCACCTTGCCAACCCTCAGCGTTACACCTACACACTACCCCTTTGCCACGGTGCTCCCCAATTATCGAGCTACCCCTTTCAGTTTTCGGAAAGGTACACACACAGGATAGTTCGACGAAAGTTCTCGAGCGAACTGTACCACTGTGTTCTTAACCGTAGATTACGAAAGTGTCGTAAAAATTACGCTCTCAAAATACAAAATGCTTAGATAGCTTTATGTTGTGCACATAATGTTAACGTTTGTCCTGGATGTGATACTTAATCGTTTCAATGATTTTTTACACCGTAGTCCTTCGAAAGTGTAATCGTTCGAAAGATTTGTACCAAAAGATCAATACAAGTATTATATTTCCAAATTGCACACGGTTGTCTTTGAATAGTAAATTTTACGAAAGTTTCGTAACAACGTAGTCCACAGTGGAGTATCGTAATCTAGGGTTAATCAACGTTATCGGACGAGCTCTTGAATAAAATTCTACCGTAATTTAGCTCGTCCCACAACGATGTAATACATATTTCTTTTTCAATGCACGAGGTAACGACCCTTTTTAAATGAAATATATATTCGCGAGGGTAACGGTGTCCCGTGGTCTTTCTGTTCCAGCAATGCAACCCCCACGACAAGGAGAGCGACTACTGGGGTGGCGGACGGGGCACGAAACAAGGTTACGAGGTGAGCCAGCCGGTTGCACGTTACATTAAATCGTACAGACGGGAATTTTCGCGGGCCCCGTGCTAATTCTACTTAGTGAAGCGCAGCACTTTCTGTTGCAGGCGAAAATGAACGCGGACCACGGCCAGCTGCAGAAGGGTGAGTAGTGTCCTTCTTGCCTAATTCACCCCCAGTTCCGTTTTAATTGCCCGAAAATTCGCGTCGGCTGAGAAGCATCACCGTAATTATGCGCTGCTGCCCTCTCGACCTTTCCTCCCATTCCACCCCCAGGTGGGGAGAACGTTTCGACCGTTGAATAAACGTGGAGCGCCGCGCAAATATTGGCATTCGATGCTCGATAGCGCGCGGCTATTCGCGGATATTGAAATAACAGAGGGTCCAACGACGAGGAACTTCTTTTTTCCTCGATTTTTTATCGAAACGGGGGGTGCGAATTTTTGGTTCAGTGTAGGCTCTAGATGAAAAGTGTACAGTAGGGTGATTCTTACGTGAACATATTTCTGATGGAACTGAGATATCTTTATGTTTATGAGAAATAAGTTAATATTAATAGATACGTATATTTTTCAAGGTATATTTTGAAGGTACTGGGGGAAACTTATAAGGTACTATAAGGGTTAAGTACTACCCTTGTGTACAGTTTGGTGACCCGTCTGGGAATGCGAGTAGGTAGCCTTTCAAAGATAACTCGATTAAAACTCTTATCTCGACGCGAAAGAAAGTTTATAACCGAGAATTACACAGCTCGTTAGTTTAACGTGATTCTCGTGTTCGTCTCCTCGTCGAGGAAGAACCAGTCTCCGACGAGAGGCACGAGTAGAAAAAGAAATAGTCGTTGTATCGCGTGAACCGTTTCACCAGCTATCTCAGACAGCCGGAGATCCAGTAGATGATTTCACCTTGCCGCGAATGCGAAGTTTATTATTAGATAATACAACAGCAGGAGAGACCTTTGGCTATCCCCAGAACCATGACTAGGTGGTAGGGAGGGTAGAGAGACGGAGAAGCAGAAAGAGAGGGAAACAGAGCGGGCCCCGGAGCTGACGCACGATACGTGTGTAAACAGTTCGTATGGCCCGTTCGCTGTCTGAAACCGGTTGTGACTTTGCATCCGTGACGTAAGATCGTCGATTAGGATCGAATCCAGGTGGGAGGAGGTGGGAGGGGAGGTGGGCAGCCGGGGAACCGGGCAAAAAACACGTGTGAACGCGAATTTATCATTCCGCCGCTGTGTCCCCCGTGTCCGAGATCGTTTATTTTTCACCTGTTACCGGTCCGCTTCCTCTCGCGCCTTTTGTCCTTCGTTTTACGCTCCTACGGACTTTCCGTCTTCCGCATCTGCCTTTTTTTTCTCTGTACCCCCTCGAGCTTTCTTTCGCTCTTTTTCTTGCGAGCCGATGAAATGGGTCAAGTTCGCGTGGCACTGGTTCCAGTCCCTCCCTTTTTTTTCTTTCCCTCTTATTAAAAGTTTACGCAGATGAATCTGACAACACGCGACCCGTGGATATTGGGGGGTCCCTCCACTTCTGGTCCCTTTTTAATACAGAGCTGTTTAGAACATTTTTAACATTTTTACGGATTCCCCATGTTCACAATCTTACGAGAAATGAAAATTTACGAACAGTTCATTTCCTCGGTCAAAGGGTTTATTAACCCTTTACAATCGTATGTACAGTATGAGGTTCAGATCGTATGACCAGTAGAGTACTACCCATGCCATAGCGTGCTACGACCGCAAAGGGTTAAATTAAAAATTATATAGAAACCTTATCTATTTTGTTTCTGATTTATTATTAATTTTGCAGCACGTTCGAATCTGTTAAAAATTTTTTATATTAATGAGACGTGAAATAAAGATTTCTAACAGAAACGTATGAAAGCACGCTGTCTGATCATGGTCAACATCATTCCACTGTCGCTCAGGCATTCAACGGTAGAAATCGATCGAAGATTACCTACCTTATCGCTGATTTTTCTGCTCGTTCTTCCCTTATTTATGTTTCCAAGTTAAAACGTCGCGTCGTCGAGGGGGTCGGAATCATCGATTCCCGTTTCCCGAAGCCGAGCAAACGCCGGCAATGACCTAGGCTGTTGATCGACCCCCGCCATTCTTTCACCGGTGCGCTCCCCGAAGGGATTAAGTAATCGGTGGCTTCCACGCGTAAAAGGTGAAGCACGTTTCCATAAATGTTTTTCACTGCCAATGGCACGCGCGACGTGTCGTGTAGATCGGCCATTTACGAGACACGCGCGCTTTCCCCACCGACGGCGACGGCGGCGCCCCGTGTATAACCGATTCACCTGATAAGTGAAAAGAACCGGGGCAAAAAGAGTAGTCGCCGCCTGTGCTCGTTCACCGGATCCTTGTTTTCCCGATGTCGATGATGAAAACAGACGACAGTTATTCTTTCGTTCGTTCAGTCGTTGATTGAAGTTGCCCAGAAGACTTGTACTATTGTCATAAGATTGAGAATCTAGAAAGTAGATCTACTAGAATCTAAGCTTACCTTGAGTATTTACGTTAATTAGACCGACTGAGTAGTTCATCGTATACATATAACTGTTTCATCGCCGAAAATTTTGTGTTAATGGATCAAAGTATCTTTTAGATCCCAAAAATGGTATTACAGAATTAACCAATAATTGTCGCCCAGAATTCCATCTGAAAGGTATATACGAAAACGAAAACAATATTCACGGGGACACATGCGCGCGTTAGAACGAGGCTGCTTAACGTATTCATCAATCTCGGTTCGAAACACCGTGTTAACCACCTGTGGCGACACAAAGAGGCGCGCGCTCTCCGAGGAAATATAAAGCCCTCGCCGCGACTATCACGGTACGAGCAAACAACAGAAGAGTAGCCGCGACGGAGGTGAGGCTGCTGTTGCAGCTGCGGATCCACGCATAGGTGAAAGTCGTTATCTGTTACTTTAACGAGCCAGCCGGGGCATCACACGGGATCGGGGAGGGCCGTGGAGGAATCGCTTCGCGGCTGGGAATTACCATGGCGAAGCCGGTGCTCTTGGGTCATTAGAGTCAGCCATTCAGCCGTTCGTTGCGATTGCGTTTTCGAGTAACGGAAGTCGTGACGAAACTCGCCTCGAGAACCGAGTGACACCAAAGCCATTTACCGTCAATTTGTAATTTTCGACCGTGGAAGGGGAACTTCGTTCCTTCGCGAGCTGTCAGAATGGAATTACTCTGAGTTCCAGAATTGTATATTCGTTAATTCGACAGAGTAACGTCACTGCCGGCCGATCGAACGCGTTAAGTAATGACTCAATCCCCCGGATCGGCGCTCGAACCGTCATTATTATCGCCTCGCGTGTGCTCGAATCGAATCCCAGGAACATTTTCATCCCTGAAATCAGCCCCGGAGCGGTCTCGCGTAAACGTTTCCTCGACTAGTTCCCCTTAATGCACGGATCGCATGTCGCCGAAATTCCGGTCGAAAGAGCAAGGCCCCCCGTTCACCTCTCCTCCTCCCTGATTCGGCGTCTTGTGGCGAGTTTTGGCCTCGTAAAAGTCGAACGGAAAGAAACTACGTGTGTAGTTTCGGCGGAATCAGAAACGGAGGGAATGGTTGCGAGAACCCACGGTTTCGAAACCGGTAGCTCGCGGTTTCCGCAGAGGGTTTTCTCTCTAATGAAGATAAATATCGTAATCTCGTATCGGACTAACTTTTTATTCTCGTATCCCGTTTCAGATTTGCAAACGGATACGTGTATCGTTTTGCTAACTATGAGCCACCTGATGCGCTGTCATCAGCATGAACCTTTTATCGTCACGAACCCAATTCTCTAAAGTTCAATTGTTATTGAATTATTACTATTTCTACACTCTTGTTGATTGCAAATTAAATACAACAGATAGATTTATTCGAAGAACAACGATTTTTTTGGATTTCGTTAATTTTTCTACATATAGGCGTAAAAAAAAACGTGCGGCAGTTACCGGTAAGTGATCAGGAACTGGGTCCGTAACGGTACAGATTTGTATTGTTTTTTCGTTTTGATAGCACAGAGGACTCAGAGATTTATGGATGAATCTTAAAGAACTCTGGAGTTTCCCAGAGTCCTTTAAAAGGATCGTATGAATCTGTAGGATCTTTTTGCAGTAAATTCTCTCCGATAGAATTTTCAGTAAACATTTTAAGTCGAATATAGGGCGATAAATTCCTGTATCGCTTGTTTCACCGTCATTCGGGACAAATGACGGCGATGAGACCGATATCTAAAGCGTCCTTTGAAGTTCCTTTCTCGGTCGACGGGCGGGTAGATTTCAAGGGAATTCACCGTCGAGAAAAGGGCTCGTTTCCACGGGCCCATGCTTCCGTAAAGCGACGTGTAAATCGACTCGTTCCTCATCGGCGGAACGGCGTCGTGATATAAAATCCAGGAACGACATCGTAAAACTTCGTTGCCCGGCGGTAAAATCTCCGGGGAAAGCCATCAAACTCCGCGAAGGGAGGGGGAAAAAAATACCGGCGGGAAAACCGTAAAAACACCTGAACTACCGATCACACCGTAGCTAGACGATCGCCAGACGATGTGTCTGCTGGCCGAGAAAACCCTTCAACAGCCTCTTGGAACTCCCGCTGTAAAAAAATATATATAAATGTCTCTTCCCACCGTTTGAAATATCTGCTTTTCTTCTCCTTCGAACTTTGACGATTTCAGCGATTTTCCTTGAAGTGAATCGCGTCTTCGATTCTTTACTTTAGACTACCGGAGTTATCCGTTTCGGGACACTAACAGAACTCGAAATTCAGAGCAGTGCATATGTTATATCTATATATATATAAATTTTTGACCAAAAAAGAACACTTCTTATGAAAACAGTTTAAAGGTTACTGTTACCATCCAGATGGCTTCACTAGCCCGATTCCTCATTCGTAACCCACACGAAAAAGATTGCAAGATTCAACATTCGAATCGAAAAGTTGATTCTTTAGTCATTCGATCCGGGGAACGATCGCGTTAAACATTTCGATGTTCCACAGAGATTCCCTGGTCGGTGGAAAAGGAGAAAAACAAATGGTTCGATATTAGTTGATATTCGTCGGAAAATCTGTTACCCCGGAAATTTCATCGGTGTCTCAGGTGGAAGGTAAGGAAAACGAAGAATTTCCGCGG